TATATATATATATTATATATATATATATTATATATATATATATATATATATAAAGTATACTGTTATATGATGCGTGCAATTCAAATAATTGGTATTACATTCGGTACAAATCATGTAAAAATTCTATGAATTGAATTCTGAAAAGTGCCAAAAGTGTGTGTATATGATGCCTTTCATTTAAATCATGTCGAAAATTATTTTTATTGATCACCAATAGAAAACGTAAGTTTTATCAACAGAGGACAGATTTACTTAGAAAATATTCAGTTAATGAAAGATATTGCTTGTTTTATATATTTTACTCGACATGCGAATTTTATAAGAATATTATAATAGTGAGCGTAAGAATTATGTAACAAGAATACATACATTCGATAATGAGCTGGAAAGGTCATATGAATATTTAGTTGAAATTAAGTAAAATTAAATCACTGAACAATGTTATGCATTGAAAGTTTATTGCAACCAACGCTCTATGTCTTTTTACATATTTATAACAAAACATTAATTTCATAATACAGATATTTGTTACATCAATTCTCATTTTAATTTTACATTGAGATACACAGGTATTACTGAAAAGGCACAAATTTTGATTTAATGTCACGATCGGAAATACTTGTAATATATATTCGAATGATCTTCTGGCTTGCTGATGAACTCACGGATTATACTTCAAATTATTTTTATGTATATTTCAATTGTAAGTGAATGGACAAAGTATACGGATCATGTAACTTTAACCAAGAGTACTTGAGAACAGAAGTCACTGCCGCTTGCTGTTACTTATTTGTCGATGTACCTAGCTGTGATTGTTTGCTACCAAATTTAGCAAATTACGTGTGGGTGATCAACGATGATAAAAGTATTTACTTTATTGGATCAATGAAGATGAAGATATGTATTTGAATTTAAAAGCATAAATCGTACAAGGAAATATGACAATAACGTCTTAAAAAAAAAATATATATACGACGAATAAAAACATTCAATCAAAGAAACACTTATTGTACCACTTATCGTTTTTTCGTGATCACCTGTAATATCTATTTAGTTGAAAAGAAGAATGATAATCATAAGAAGAAGAAAATATTTTTCATCGAAATAACGCTGTAATTGGTATAGATAATGTCTTAAAGTAATGTACACCTGTTGAAAGAGATATGAATTAGTGGTATCGAGGTATATCGAGCTTGTAGCATTCGTAATAAGCACAATGCTTTATCGCAATATGTATGTATGAATGGTTACATATGTAATAACTGTATTTAGAGCTTTTATTATTTGTTGGTATTGTCTTCAATTTTTTTTTTCTGTTAATCGATGCACCATATGTTACAAATCTCATTTCCAAATCACCTAGCATTGCTTTTTAATTCCTAAGTTTTACAAAACTGAATAGAAGCCTAGTAAGTATTAGAACAATGTACCATTATGCTAGAATTTATATACTTAAGTATGTGCCGCCCAAGTTGTGCCTTGGAAGCCTTTTACACAGTATATTTTAAATAAATATTGTACAAGTATGAAATGAAAATTTGCTATAATGTGTAGAAAAGCAAATATATTATTTGCCAAATAGCGCTTACATATATTTTGATTATCATGTGCAAAATTATATTACTGCCTATAATATGAGAGTCTTAAATATACAAAAATATATTTAAAGATATAATTTAGAGAGAATATATGTATATACACACACACACACACACACACACACACACACACGCATATACACACAAATGTATATAAGCAGAATATTATGATTGGTGATTTGGAAAAGATTTGTGATTACTTAGATTTTGTCAGTGTAAATAAATTCATTTAGCTGTAAAAAAACATTTGCAAAATCCATTCCACACTTACCATGTAGACCCGATAATTACGGGTTTTCTTTTCAATATTTTCTTTGCGTCTTTAGAGTGTCGATATCATTGTATATTATTAGAGTATCATGGTGATAATAAAAAAATGTGGCTGTTTATCATGATCGAAAGTACGATATTGAGTAATTTCTGTTGCAAGATTAAAACAGATTACCAACAAAAATGTAGATCAGATATAGCCAAATATTATAAGTGCATTAATTTCTTCATCCAATTGATATTTGCACGTATAAAAATGTTCATACTTTCGATGATGTAAGCAGATGCTGATTTGTGTGGTAATCAATATTACGATATTGTACAGCTCTGCTATCATTATTAAGATTATCAAATTCTTTAAGCGGGATTTCGTAAATGTTAGAATATTATCAGAAAAATATACTCCTTTTCCTCTGTCTATCTTTCAAAACAAAATCGGACTCCGTTCGACGACAAAAAAAATTCTCATTCGTGCTCTACTGTATCTGCATTTCTGGTAATTACTGTGTTGTGCAGTTACCGAGTATAAATAAAAAATATTTCCTATCTGTGTATCTATGTGCAACGAAAAAACACGGTAGTTTTATTAATTTTACAATCGATAAACAATCCGTAATATCCCATATTATTCCCAAAATATTCTTATAATATGCTATATTTTTGTATTCCTATAATATACATTAATGTAATTATAATATATTTCAAATAACAAAGAAAAGGGCGGGATTTTTACACAAGTGTCGTTATAGGTCAATTCATGCCCGAAAGTCATTGGTCTATTTGCAAAGAGTGTGTAACCGGATTCGCTGTTTTTCGTAGAAAGAATAATTCGAAAATAACGGATATTGTGTTTTCTAGTTCAGTGCCATCATGTTAACCTTATGTGTATTGTGTTCGAATATTTGCCATGAAATCGAGTATCGTTACTCAGTCAAATGATTATTCATCCGATATGTACATAATGTGAATATTTAATGTTTATATCGTATCCTATAAGTTGAGTTGTTTAAAAACTTAAGAGATACAAATGCAAACAATCAGAATGGATGATTTTGATATGGTAAGTTTGTGAAAAGGAAATGAAGTTTTATATTTGTTTGTCCCTAGAAGCTTCATTTTTGAAATATATATGTACATATGTGCATAAATTTGTAGTATACGTTCTACAAGCAAGTATGAATGGAGAAACATATTAAAGGTAATTAAATGATTGAATCATCCTTTGTCTCTTCATCCCATGGTATCTTCCTAGAATCATCATACATTATGAATATATTTCCCTATTTTATCAAGAATATATTCAGTGTAGCTTGTGATAAGATGAAAGGTGAAGGAGGGGAGAAGATAATTAAAGGAGTCTGTGACAATCACAGATTTTCGGCGGTGGCGCTTCAGTTGTCATTTCCATCTCCACCGGCGCGCCACTGCCACCTCGAGTAAGTACTATCTCCGTCACCGGTAATTCCATCCCCTTCTCCATTTCGCGGGTAGCGACGCCTCCGCACGGCGCCGATCAATAACGTTGTTCTCGGCGACGCCGACGTCGAGAGCGTCGCTGCGTGAAGCCATCCGCAAGCAATCGACGTGTCACCACGAAAACTTGTACACGGGTGCGATCGAAAAGGAGCGTCGCGTGGAAAAAAAAAAAGAAAAACGATTGGGAATGCGACCTGTGCACTTATTGCTGTTTTGCAGAACAATACTTATGTCAACGAACGGCACGAACAGCACCTGGACCCGGAACCAGAGTTTCTCGGATTCGAGCAATCTTTAGGACCCACCCACGACACGATGGCTAAGGTAAGTTCTGGTCAAAATAAAGAATTAACAGTGCATCGTGTCGCTCAAGTATGATGTATCACGTATCTCTTATAATTGTACACGTTTTACTTAGTTTCGATGTATTCGATACTTAAGATCTTGCGGGAGGAACGTGCTATTACTACTTTGTCAACAACTGTTGCTGATTTTTAGAAAAGATCGTTTCCCCTAGGATAACCAATTTAATTGGCAATTGTATTTTCGACCGTGAGTGAGAAACTCTACTGTGAGTAATTAGTTTCTGAATTAAAATGTTATTGCTACGGTTTCACAATGTATCGACTATGCACATACAGTAGTCACGGTCTATCTCGGCAGGAAAAGTAGTTTGGCGCCGTCATGATCAGCCGGACTGCAGTACATAGTCGACATTGCTACTAGAGTATGAGAAAGGGATTGACATAGTAATGGTAATCAAAATATTTGCATGATCACACTTTCACGATAGTACATTTCTTTATTAATAATATTTCATTTGTTCATTGAATTTCTCATTCATACGTGAGGCCTTGATACATTATTCGAAACATACTAAATTTATAAATACAGTACTTGAGGTACACGTGGGACTGATGGTTTCTAATTTTATTCAATAAATACTATCTGAATATTGACTTATCAACAGATTCAAGTATCATGCTATAATAAATACATACATGTGTATTTATTTATATATTATTTATTGTTAGTTAAGTATAAAATGATAAAAGCCGTAAACGCTTATTTATTTGCAGTAGTGCGGAAATCGTGACGATCTGATATAAACATTTATTTTTCTGCGTTCAAGAAATTTCTTAGCGTAATCCATTTGAAAATGAATAGAGTGGAATTATCTTGATTTTGTAACATCAATTAATGCTCGAGCTACGATTATCATTACGCTTTTTTTTTTTCT